GTGAAAGAATGTTGCCTGGTATCAACTTTGCCAAGGTTGGCGAAGTTCCCATCCGGATTCACGGCGATGACCCAGTTGAATTGATTGAATCGGTAGGGATCTCGAGTCGTTTGTAGTGCATGTGTAGCTTAATGATTACTTATCTCACATTGCCTTGAACAGTTTGACGCGCTCGATCTGTACCCTGAACTCAAGAGCAACATTCTCGACTTGATGAAGTACAACAAGCCCACACCTGTGCAGAAAGCCGTCATTCCCACCTTACTTGCCGGCCGGGATGCCATGGCCTCCGCACAGACTGGATCCGGCAAAACCGCTGCGTATCTGATTCCCATCATGGATAAACTTCTCAAGAGGGGTAAAGCCAAGCTGCGAGCCATGAAACCAGGGGAAGAGAAGCCGTCATTCTTTAGGAAAGTGCACGGTATGTGCTTCGCAGCTCCTGTCCACCCGTATGCGTCGAGCATTAAGATCATCCTTGTGTTGCAGAACCTTTGGTTCTAATCATATCGCCAACCCGCGAACTCGCTGGCCAAATCTTTACTGAGGTCCGCAAGTTTGCGTACCGGACCTGGGTCAAACCCGCAGTCATCTACGGTGGCGCCAATTCCAGAGTTTTGCTGAATGGCTTAGAAAGTGGTTGCGACGTGCTCATCGCTACTCCAGGCAAACTATGCGATTTCCTTCTCAGAAACATCATCTCGCTGAAACGAGTCAAGTATGTGGATGCCGAACGGTTCACAGGTCATGTTCACGTCTAACACGGCGTGATCCTTAGGTTTCTAGTGATTGATGAGGCCGACCGGCTTTTCGAGCTTGGCTTTGATCAAGAGATTCGTCGCATTGTCGAAGGGTACGACATGCCAAGGGATGAGGCCAGGCAAACTGCGTTGTTCTCTGCAACTTTTCCCAAGACCGTCCGTCGTCTTGCCAGAGACTTCCTGCTCGACTGCTTGCTCATCACTGTCGGACGCGTTGGTACAATTCCAGTAGACATCACTCAAAGGGTGAGTCGCTTCGTGCTCTCTGCTGCAAGTCATCCAACATCCAGTGAATGCGGATGCTTACATCGAGGCTAATAGGTCATGGAAGTGGATGACTTCTCCAAGCGTACCACTTTACTGGATCTATTGTATGATGAAGAACCTGGGCTGACCCTGGTGTTCGTGAACACTCAGCGTGCTGCTGATACTCTGGATGACTTCTTGTTTCGCGCTGGATTTCCTGTTACGTCCATCCACGGGAAGCGCTCGCAAGCTGAACGTGAGGATGCCATCTCTGCCTTCCGTTCCGCGAAGGTTCCCATCTTGATTGCTACCGATGTCGCCGCTCGTGGCCTTGAGTGAGTATACACTGCATTTGCTGAAGTTGAAGTTTCTCACCAATTTGACCATCTTCAGTATCCCCAACGTGTCTCACGTCATCAACTATGACATGCCAAAGGACATAGATGGTTAGTTTTGTTTTGCTTTCGGTGGTGGGCATTACTAAGCAGAGCTGCAGAGTACATTCACCGTGTCGGTCGCACTGCTCGTGTTGGCAACACTGGGAAGGCTACCAGCTTCTATAATGAGCGTAACGTGGACCTGGCGCCCGAGCTTGTTAGATGTCTTATGCAAACGAACCAGGAAGTTCCCGACTTTTTGGAGCAATTCAAGGAGCAAATTGCGTGAGTAGCTGCTCACGAGGTTTAAAATCAGTCCCTTTATTGACGACCCTGTCTGTAGTGAGGATGGCATCATCGATGAGTTGAAAGAAGAAGACCTTGAAGGTGACCTCCCGGAAGGTTACAGTAAACTCGGCGAACAACCCGAAGCTAGCAATGACATGGACTTGGGGGGTGCATGGGCTGGGGATGGTGGTGCTAGCGGTGATGCCTGGGGTGCTGGGAACACTGCTGGTGGTGATGAAATGGAAACGACTGGCGGTGAAGCTGGGAACTCCACTGCCGAGGACACCAATGGAAATAATGATGCCCCTGCTAGTGGTGACTGGAACGCCACTGGCACGACAGACAACAATGCCACAAGTAATAGCGCCTGGGCTAGCGGTGGATGGTAGATCTACTGGGTTGCGGTATGCAATGGATTGATTCGCATAGGTGTTACTCGACGTTTCTTGAATACATTTGCCCTTCGCTTTCGTGCAAATGTAATCGTTTTCAGGTGATTGATGGTGCGAAGTGTTTATTAGGAACTTATAGTCGCGCGATTGGCCTGTACTGCATATCTTCTAGGACAGCAACAATTTCCTCGCGCGCCTGGCCCGCGCTGGCTAATGCCACAAAAGACCACGTCAGATTGTTTGCTCCTTGCATAAATCCTGTTTCTCGATTCCATTGCTCACTGATTCCAAGCTCGGTATCCTTTGGTAGGTGCTTACGGAGACGTCTCAAATAGGCGTCACCCTTGTCCAGCTCATCCTGAGCAGCCTGCACATCTATTAGAGATGGGACACTATGCAGTGACATATGATACGCCGCGGTGCGATAGTGTACTTCGGCAAACGCGCAAGTAAGTAATGGCCATGGATTACCCAAGGACGTGGTTTCATATCCGTCATAGGTGTCTTCGGGATATCGACCTATGGCGGGTGCAGTCCCATCAGAGTCCGTTTGGCGATTGATAGCGTACAAACGTCCAAAAGTATCTGCAAGCGCTGTCATCGTCAAATGTATTGCCTTTGAATGCGGCTGATACGGTGACGCAGGCGCGTGCAATGCCGCTACTATCACTTGCGCATCCAACCTAGATGGTTTATGCGCCGGGATGGGAACATGAGGTTGTAACAATCCGTTTCCTGTCTTGAACCACTCCAGCTTATGTCGCACGAATTGGGATTGGAGTTTGAACCATTCGGCATTATGCGTGTCGTTGAAGCGTTCGGCGAGCGAGGCGCCTTTGAGCAGCGCCGAATGTACGACTGACGAGGTGTAGAAGTTGTGGGCTCGGATTTCTTCCCATGGATCGTAAGACTCGAGAGTATGAGTCTGGGATATGTAGTGCAGGGAAGGCAATATCGCCTTATAATAGGTATCTGCCTGTTTGTTGTCGTCCAAGTGTGGAAGGATGGATATCATTGCGAGGACCCGCAGCGCAGGGGAGTCATTTTGGGGTCTAGCCCAGGGAAGCGTATATGGTGCCCCATCTAAGTGAAATTTGGGCTCACCCAGTCCTGTTCTAGTCGATTTATACGTGTTCTGAGTCTCTAGGTCGATGTAGCGTTCGAGTGTGGAGAGGAGTTCGGATGTGGGGTTGCGCGCGTATGCTGAGCTGAGGAAGCTGACGCAGAGTGCCGCATCACGCACCCAGTGGTAGGAGTAATCTGGATGTGAGGTGGACGGGGATGCACGAATTGCGCCGTTGGGAAGGGTATTTCGGAGGATGGACGGGATGATGGTGTTGGCTATCTGCGACAGCCAATTCCGAAGTGAGGATGAGGCATGGGGGGACATGAGAGGTAGTTGCGGGGGAGCGGCGGAGAGAAGGGAAAGAGAAGACAGGAGAGATATGAGTAGAGCTAGACGCATTTTGAGGATATTGTGAGCTTGCGCGTTGGAAAGTTGGAAGCTCAAAAAGTTCAGAGCGCGTCAAAAACAGTCGCGGTCAGACGTGGTCAACCTTCTGACAGTTAATATCATTAGCCGGGGATGAACGACTGTTCATCAAACGCAGCTCCCTCGTGATATCGGTTGCCTCGCTTGTGCACGACGCTGCCTACCATGGGTCATACTCAAAACCTGTAAGTTATTTTGCGCTTGAACTGGACAGACATGGGCACACCAAAATAAGCTCGTATCTCCATGCGGTGCTCTCGCATGACACAATAGCTGTGGCGACGCATTGACAAGCCCTTACGCTTCTGGGCTATCATGGCAAGGAATAACCTTCCTCCTCTTCTCTTCACTACAAAAAGGATGCAGCGCCCCAGAGTACCGTCATGTAATACGAACACAGAATCTTTTATAACCATGCTTAACGGGCAATACTTTCAACCGTATCAGTTCAGTGTATCTACAGTGTCAGTTCCAAAAACTTCAATCCGTGGCTCAAAATCGATCCTCCCACGAGCTCTCATCGCTCAGCAATCCAGCATCACTATAAACAGGTAACACATCAAAGGTAATGTCTTTGACTGCCTTCTTGGTCCCTCGCCTGGCGACACCAATCATTCGCACCAACCCCGCCGCATTGCGGATGATCAGTAAAACCTCCTCAAATGCCCACTCCGATCGGCTCAGCCCAGAGCATAGTGCAGAATTAGAAAAGAGTGATGGAAGGAGTGTGAGGGAGCACAGAAGTAGCGTAAAGATGTCGAGATATGTCCACATATTGAGGAAATGCTTCGGGGATGAGACGTACGTGAGCCCCAGTGACAGTAAGAGGAGAATGGTCAATATGAGCTCGAGCGTATGATGGATCCGAGTTGGGCTGTCGTACGTTGGAAAAGACCACATTTGAACAATAGTAACAAGAGTGCAGTTAGCTAATGACAAAAGTACACAATCCAAGAAACAAGCAGGTGTGTCTCCTACCAGGCTTGTCGGAAGGACATCCATAGACAGACGGCGCTCAAGGCCAACATTCCTCCATAGAATAGTCGAGCATATTTTGAATGCAAAAAGCGGGTCGCAAGATTCTGAAGCTCGGTTACTTCCCTGTACATTTTGAGTCTGTCAGTTTGTTGATCGCCACCTCGATATTGAACTCAACTTCGATCTGAATCCAACCTCATTGCGCCTTGCCAAAGTACTGTTTGAACCAGCAACTTGGACGATTGTTTCTAAAAGTTACGAGTGCTGAGTGGAAGGCGTTTGTGGCGTTGACCTGACCCAGACAAAGAGCAGCGGAGCGGGGCATCCAACGAAGAGGAAGGTAACACTTGTCGCGGCACTTCAATCGCAATGGAAGACGCTAATGGAAGACGTGCTGGTAGTAGTATGTTCTTTTCGAGACACTCATTGACTATGTGAAACAAGCAAACAAGCTTAAAACAAAAAGTGGTTTCATCCAGGTTCGAACTGGAGACCTCCTGTGTGTTAGACAGGTGTGATGACCAACTACACCATGAAACCTCAGATGAATGCTGACATTCAGCTTACAAGTGGACTTCACAACTCAAGTGAGAGATGCTTTGTCAAAGTGGCGCTGCCCAAAGTCCGCTCTGGGCGCGTCAAAAATAGTCGAGAATCAGGATGAACACCAGAACACCTCAATGCTCATTGAAGAAGGAAGAAGAAAAAGCCGACTGTAAAGCCGCAACGAGCTATATATATGACGGCGCATGAACAGGATCGTCAAGATTGGTACTCGAAGTTGTATACAGCCACGCGCAACACAATATTGGCCTCTTGAACAACAATGGGTCGGGGTCGCAGTTATGGAGGGCAAACGCTTCAATGTCCAACAGGCGCCATATAAATGGGATCGCTGTCTTTCATCCCATTGAGTGCTTGGATCATTCGTATAACGTTTAGTTGAGATACAGCTGTCGTACTCCTCAACTTAATTCTACCATACATACCAGACTTTGGTAATGAATTTGAGCGCTGCTAAGCGTGGCAGTCTGGGTTCCACACTTGATACTGCTTCGCTGCAACCAAACTCTGCGAGACGTCCTAGTGCGGGTGATGCGTTGGATGTACGATCTACTTCCTCGGGGACAGCCCCGGCGGGATGGTCAACGAGAGGAAGCTTTCAGGCTGGAGGGACGATGACTCCTTCCAGTGATGGATCTATGGTAATTGCAGATCTGGCGAAGGAAGCGAAGAAGCATTCTATTGCTGCGCGATTTCCTGGTATACCCATTGCAGCAATCGTTACTACGCTCATCATTGGATCACTGTTAGCTGTTGCATTGGTGGTGAGCATCAACGTTGCTATTATGTGCCTGTCGCCACTTTCTCACGCTTTTGTCTATAGCTCGGCATATTATTCGACAAAGCTAGTCAAGATGCAGTTCATGAACTCTCCGAGCGGATTATTTACGATGCGGTCAAGCAAGTAGTGTCTGGCATCGATGAAGTCAAACAAACCGGCGTAGAGTTCGCCGCTCTATGGGAGCAAAGTCCGTCCATTCGGCAGATTATGGATACTTCCGCGAGTCCACCTCCTTTGAGACTATTTGAAATGCATCTCCCTGAAAATGGCGGTGAAATATTTGCGCAAGGTTATCAAATGACCAAGAGTGTTAGCTACCTGAGCAATACCGGATGTATTACCAAAAAAGTCACAGTAACTGAAAAGAATGGGGTTTCGATTGACCCCGCCGAACGGTTTTTATTTGTTGGCACTTACCGGGACAACGATAATGGCATGATTGGTACGACCTTTGTTGATTACGACAGTTCCGCAACATGGGTCCACTTTCTTGACGCCCAGAAGCCCAGTTGGCCTTTGCTGCTACCTGGATTCGCGAACTTCCCTACACGTGATGCAACGAAAGGTGCCAATCCCGTAGAGTCGTACCCTTTCGCCGTCGAAACAGAGTCGTCCATTGCCAACTCCCCAGTATACGAGCTCCTTACCACTGCCGAACCCGTGCGAGGTGTTCAATGGGCTGTGAGTATGTACCTTGGAGTCATGCAACTTTCACCAGCCTTTGCGGTTTACGACTATGTGGATCCCGACAAAGCATTATATGCCTGCGGATTTTCCTTTAATGTGGAGCAGGCTCTCACCCCATTGATGAAAACTCTTCGGCCGACGACGAACAGTAAAATTTTCTTGATGGAGCGCGCTACAGGATACCTCATTGCTTCAGATACTCCGGGCAGCACCTACGAGACACTTGACGCGTTATTAAACCAGTACAAGCGCTTTCAGCCGCATCAATCAACTGATGCGGAGACTGCGGCCGTAGGTACTGCACTTCGCGATTATTTCGACGGCTACTCGAATATACCATCGTCAACAACGGAGATCACCCGCTTTGAACAAAAGATCAACTCCAAAAAATGGATTATCAACCTTGAGTCCGTCGCCGCCGACCCTTCTGAATGGATCCTTGTCGTCGCCATGCCACGTGCAGACTTCTTTGGTAACGTTGACAAGACCCGGAAAACATCTGTTGGTATCGCTGCCGGGATTGGCGTCCTCGGTGCTGTGTTGAGCGCTATTCTGAGTTTCATCGTCCTGCGACCGCTGGCTCGCCTCGCTCACTCCATGAAGCAGCTCACTAAGTTTGATTTCTCATCGCTCGAAGGAGGTGCCCTTGATGCCCGCTCTCATATTTTGGAGATTAGAAAGCTCCAACAGACTTTCTCGACAATGGTCAACGCCTTCGCTGCGGGAATCCGGAAGAACAAAGCACTTGTTGGAGGCCAGATGGGAATCATCAAGTCTGGGGAGACGGGAGGTGCACGCTTTATGAGCAGCGGTGGCGTTAGTGGTGAGAGAAAGCAGAGCATTGCGTAGATACGTAGTACTTTCAAGCGCTAGTTGTAGTGCTTAATACCCATTATTTTTATTAAAACGATAGCTACCGCAGTCGGTGGAATCAGTGAAGGTTGTCTTGTGCACATGATATTCGGGTCGAAAGGAAACATTCAAAAAGTGCAAACGTGCACCTCCCCGGAATCAAACTGTTTATTCGCTTAAGATGTCAGCTTTAGACCGCTCGGCTTACGGAAGCGTCTTGCCATGCGAAGTGTGCAACAAGATCCAAGACCTCATGTCGTGCTGTCCGGACGCGTACTTTCCCACGCGTGTGTGCAGATTGCATTGCAACAACGTACACGCGGACAGCCAATCTAACCGTATCGGGAACAATGAGTCCCCTTTGAGTAAGAGCGAGAGCAGCTGTGCCATCGTTTTGCAATCTACTTGGTGGCCCAGTTGCTGCTGTCGTTCATTTATCCTGGAGATTAGATGAGTGGCCTTGGAATTTAGATGACGAATGGCACCATCGCAATCGGCCGAACAATAGAGTCCCCCTCACCAAAGGGCACGCCCTCTCGGATATAAAAGGGGCCCCCCGGTCGTCGCTTCCCTCCCCTTTTTCCCCTCAGTGGGGGAAGCATGAAGGAGTAAACTGGAGGTCGAGGCCTCCAGTGATAAACCTTGTAATGCGTGTTTGACCTGTTAGTTTTCGTGTCGGATAATGAATTTAAATAGACTCCAATGCAGTTCAGCCGCGCTTAAGTTCGCAGCTGCTGCTGGATGCTCTGTTCAACGCTTTCAGAATCCGAGTGTCACGTAAACAACCGGGAAGACATCTCTTACAATTCTTGTGGTTTTGGTGGCAAGAGTATCTACTTCCTTTTCCATCATTTGAAGGACTTCGACTACTGGACATTGCCTTCTGGACATCGCCTGTGGACTTCGACTTCAACTGCCACGAGTACAACAACCTCGACTACAACAACCTCGACTACAGCAACATCGCCATGTGAACATCGCCGTGTGGACTTCGACAACTGGACTTCGACTACGGGACTTCGACTCTCCGGACCTCGACACCAGGAGCTGATGTGGAGGTCCGGAAAGTCGAGGAGATGGATGATGTGGAGAGGATGTGGATATGCGATGATGTGGAAATCAGGGCTAAACGGCCGTAACACCCGGCGGCTGGTGAAAGAATGCTCCGAGCATACCTTTCACCAGCAAAAACAGTTTGAAGAGTAGACTTTGGTTATTTGTATTGAATAATATTATGTGTTTTATCATTACTCGAGTTCAAGTGTCAGGTCTAGACCGCTCGGCTATGAGGCTTCTTCTTGTAATTCATAGGAAGCATTGGAACGGACGCGTCACGACGGGCCATGCGAGGAAGACGTAACAACAAAGTAAATGATTGTTGTTATACAACCTGAACTTGTTTGTCTCTGGTGTTATGACCAGTCCCTTCACATCCGGCATGGACATGAACTCGCTCTAGATCTACAGTATACATGAACCCGAACAGACACGGAAAGAACTCCATTGCATGTGTCCCACTTTGATCGATTTGTGGGTTTCAGTCGCGAGCTGATATGTACCATTTTACGCTTTCCTTCTCAATCTGATCAATTTGTTCTTTTCCGACAGGTCAGCTCCGTGAGTTTATTACCTTGCGGGAAAAGGGCGGTTACGTTCCCATAGCGAGCAGTTATTGAGGGGAAAGACTGCCCTGCGCTTTTATGTCAACACGCAGTCGATGCGCCGTCCGGTAAGCAAACCGCACAACTACAGGCCCCAAGTCGATCCACCCCGAAGTGTCGCTCTCCTTGGCGTTGTTCTCTGGGCGATATAGACCTGCTTCACACTTTCCCACTTGGCAAAGTCAGAAATTCCCTGCGCTTGGACGCGTCTTCTTCCATTACGCGTCAGAAAAAAAAAAACTCGGAAAAATCGGGAAATGAGAGCTGGAGTTGGCGCGAGTAGTGCAATCGTGGGAGGGGAAAATGGGGATGCTAGAGCAAGTCCAACGAGCGTCTTACGAGCTCTGGCCAAGGTAACATTCCCTGCGCTTGGACGCGTCTTCTTCCATGACGCCTCAGAAAAAAAAAACTCGGAAAAATAGAGAATTGGAAGTTGGAGTTGAAGCGAGTAGTGCAATCGTGGGAGGGGAAGGCGGGGGTGCGGGAGCAGGTTCAACGAGCGTTGTATGAGCTCAAATGAAGGAAAGACGCGTCCTGACGCGACACTATGGAAGTATAGCAAACAGCGATTCCTCGTAAGAATTGCGCTTGTAACGGTGGAGGAACTCTCTGAGGGGACGGGGGACAGCGAACATGCTACATGTGAAGATCTACTTGCCAGAATGCTCACGATTGTCAGGTTATAAGGGAAGTAAACAGGTATGATTGGTTCACGCGTAAGTTTTGCAGGTTTTGTTGATCGAGTGTTGTTGATTAACGAACAATGCTCACGACAAAAGTACAACGAGTCAACTACTTTCGCAGCGCATTTCCTCACAGCTGCGTTGACGTTCATACCCTTGGTATATTGCGTTGTGCATAGAGCCTGTGTTCATCCCACGTCCGACAAGCGCAACGCTTCCAACGTACGCCGCAATTGTAACAAAATTCAGCTCCGCAAAGGCAGTATATGTGGAAGCAACCGATCGTCAGTTCCACCATGCGATTGCAGTTAT